TTCGACGTTCTTTATATCCACGTGTAGGTAAAATCAAGATCTACAACTTTCGTTTAGACTTCGTCGGCTAATTCTCGACCGATATCAAATTTAACAGTAGGAGGCCTTTAGACTGTTAAATGACCGCGAAGAATTCATAACTCCTTCATACGGACTCCGTTTTCGTCTGTATTTTTACCGTTGAGTTCCTATTAATGAGATCTTCAACTCTCATTTAGGTTGTGTAAGCCAAAAACCGCTCGAACTAAAATTCGAGTTTCGGGCCGTGCACTGCTAAGTCGAATCTTAGAAAAATCATAACTTCCTCATACGAAGTCAGATTTGGGCGTTCTTTTTATCGACGCTATTAATTTAACATATTATACGACTTTCGTTTAGATTTCTAAGGATAAATCTCGCTCTATCGTAAATTCACTATTTACGCTTCCCGGTGCCGTGCCGGTTTTGCCGTAAAACTTCGACGGGCCATAACTTCTTCGTTATAACTCGGATTTCGGCGTTCTTTATATGTACGGAAACCTTGTGACATATTCCACAACTTGGTTAAGATTATTTATTCTAAATAATATTTTCTTGAAAAGTCATTTTCGACCCCTATTATCTCTAAATTGACTAACCTGGATTTACGGGCGTTACATCCAGACAGGCGGACTCGCCGAGTCCAGGATATGGACTCGCCGAGTCTCCAACTTAAACGTGCTCAATATCTTATCTCTACTCGGCGAGTCGGGCCTACAGCTCGCCGAGTTCCAGCTAAAAATGCCAAAAATACTTAGATTAAAAATACATACCAGGAACCAGGTGCTACAAAACTAACAAGTTTATGTCGATTTAAACTTGCATGATTCAAATTTTAAATGGAAAAATACTAGCATACTATTAGTCTTGGCACTTTAGACTACAATACATTTTATAGATAAAATATGGGATTTTCTAGATCAATCAGTACTTCTACAAGAAAGGATTTCAACATTTCATTCTAAAAGCTTATGAAGTCACCAACTTAATTGTTGACACTTTGTCAAAACTACTCGTATTCTTAGGGAATCCGTAAAACAGGTAAACAATGACTTTTGAGGATTGAACGCTAAGGCGTCAAACATTGTATTTTTGTCAACATAATGTAATTGATTTAGAAACATGTAAACCTATACTATGATGTAACTTTTTCAATTATATTTATGTTGGTTGTTTATACTTTGAGCACTATTATACTTGTTATGATACCACACATGAAGTCCTTCACCCCTGAACGTTTCCGTCATCCTTGGTTTGGGGGTGTGACATTAGTTGAGTGTGGGTGGGGCCTATATCTCCTAAATAGCTGAATGTGGATGGGGACCATACTTCACTAAGTGTGGTCGGGGCCCGTTAGCCAAGTGTGGGCAGGGCCTGTATCTCCTTGAGTGTGGGTGATGCTCGTATCTTCTAGCTGCATGTTATGTGTATGGTATGTGGTAGTTTGGGGAGACTCACTAAACTTCGTGATTATAGTTTTCAGTTTTGGTTTCACGTACTTTCAGTAGCAAGGGGAATGACTCGAGATGACTGCATTGCATACACCATGATGTTCAGCCTGGGATGTTACTCTGATATATTTGACATGTGTTTTGATATTGATATACTGCTTATGATGTTTTGAGATACTATGGTTCCTTTTTTGATAAAATGATTTTAATAATTATGGTTTATTTAATGAATTAAAAATGAAACTTTTAGTCATAATTTTTGGTATGTTTCAAAGGGTTTTGTCGATAATAGTTGGGGAAGGAGAAAAGAGGAATTGAGAGAATGTGTCTAATATGTAAACAAAATCAAATAGAGGTTGGAAAAAGGAATGTTTATGATTTTGATTTGTGTCGATCCGATATAAAATAATGACGACAAGTCTTAAGAAAAGAGGAATGAGAGAGATAGTCACATGTGATAAAATTTGTAAGAAAGGTGTATGGGTGGTGGTAGTTGCCATATATGCAAAGAAAAGAGAGGGGCTGGTAGTCGTGATGGTGGTCAAATTTGCAAAAGAAGAGAGAAGGAATGGTAATTGTGGTGACTGGAAAAATCGCCTCTTCCTATGGTATGATGCCGATGACAACAAATAACACACACACACACACACACACACACATATATATATATATATAGAAAGAGAGATAGATAGAGAGAGAGAGAGAGATGACTAATAATAAACAATCTGCAAAAGAAGAGAGGAGAATGGACAATGGTGGTGACTTGAAAATTTGTCTCTGCCAATTATATGCTGATGGGGTGTGTATGAATGATGAATGAAAACAATGGAAATAAGATCATTACATTAATTATATTTTGAAAATTAAAACATCAAAAACACTTAAAAAATCAAAATAAGTATTATACTCATGTATGTTAAGAGACTGTTTTTTTTTGTTTTTTTGTTTTTTTTTTTAGATCTCTTATGTTTGTGCCACACTGACAACATATTATTTGTTTTTTAAAAGATTGTATATCTAAAAATGTTTGCACATCATCTTTTTGACCCAGAGATACATACATCTTTTAACTTCTTATATTTTTATCGATTCTAATGAAAAAAGTTACACATTTGAACTATTCTCATTTTGTGGGCAAAAAAGAAAAAAAAAAAAGTGAAAAACTATCAAACTTGATTTCGATGAATCATAAGTTGCAATTTATATTTTAATTCATTTGCCATAAACTTTTGCAATAAGTTTATTTTAGAAATAAGTTTACAAATAAAATATATTGTTTTTTATTTTTTAAATCTATGTGTAATTATGTTATTTTAGCTTAATAAACTTGTTATTTGTCAATTTTTTGGTATTAATATTTTAAAAAAGTGTACGCATATTTATCTAACATTTTTTATAACAATAATTAAACAATCAAATTTATTATAAAACTTGTCAAAATATTTTACTAACTTACATATTTTTTTTCCTCATAAAATGGACAATAATAATTATGGTTTATTTAACAAGTTAAAAATGAAAATTTTGGTCATAATTTTTGGAATGTTTCAAAAGGTTTCGTCAATAATAGTGGGGAAGGAGAAAAGAGGAATGAGAGAATGTGTCTAATATGTAAACATAATCAAACATAGGTTGGAAAAGGAATGTTTATGATTCTGATTTGTGTCGATCCGATATAAAATAACGACGATTATTATGGAGAAAAGAGAAATGAGAGAGATAGTCACATGTGATAAAATTTGTAAGAAAGGTGTATGGGTGGTGGTAGAGGCCATATACGCAAAGAAAAGAGGGGGATCGGTAATAGTGATGGTGGTCAAATTTGCAAAAGAATAGAAAACGATAGGAAATGCTGGTGATTGGAAAAATCACCTCTTTCGATGGTATGCCAATGACAACAAATGAAAGAGAGAGAGAGAGAGGATTAATAATAAACAATCTGCAAAAGAAGAGAGGAAAATGGGCAATGGTGGTGACTGGAAAATTTGTCTCTACCGATAATACGATGATGGGGGTGTGTGTGAGAGATGAATGAAAATAAATGAATGAAATGTGAAATAAGGCCATTACATTAATTTTATTTTGAAAATTAAAACATCAAAAACACTTAACAAATCAAAATAAGTATTAAATGCACGTATGTTAAGAGACTAAAATGGTATTTATTATTATTTTTTTTTTTTGCAAAAGCTTTTTTAGACTTCTTATGTTTGCGCCGTACAGACAACATACAAACATTTGGTCCTGCAGACTATTTGTTTTTTAGAAAACTATATACATAAAAATGTTTTCACGTCATTTTTATTGGAGCATATAGTTTTTTTGGCGTAGACATAGACCTATATCTTTTACCTTTTCTCATCCTTTCCATTGATCCTAATGACAAAAAGTTATACATTTGGACTATTCTCATTTCATGGGTAGAAAAGAAAAAAAGTGAAAAACTATCAAATTTAATTTTGATGAATCATAAGCTGCATTTTTTATTTTAATTAATTTGCAATAAACTTTTGCAATAAGTTTATTTTAGAAATGAGAAATTAAATATCCTCATATTTTTGTTCTCACAAATCATCCTACCCAATTAAATGATGATATATATCATATTATATATTAAAATATCATTAAATGATACACATGTTACTATTTAATTGGATAGGAAGATTTATAGGAATGATATTTAATTTCTCTTTAGAAATAAATTTACTAATAAAATATATTGTTTTTTTTTTATTTTTTAAATCTATGTGTAATCAGGGCCGGTCCAGACAATGAGCAACCTGGGCGACCACCCTGGACCCACTTCTACAGGGGCCCAAAATTTCCGGGCTATGTAGTGTGTGTGTGACTATATATATATATATATATATATATATATATATATATATATATATATATATATATATATTATCTAAATGATTTTTAGGGCATAAAGTTGGTTGAAACTCAAACTAGCTCAAAACATAAATAGTCTGACTTAATTATTATTTTTAATTGAACACGTTTATAGTGAAGAATAAATGGTATATTTTTAAATTTTATTAATTTATTTGTCTTTAAATGACTATTTTTTTTTTTATTTTCGCCCCGAGTCTCATATACATTTGAACCGGTTTTGTGTGTAATTATGTTATTTTAGCTTAATAAACTTGTTATTTGTCATTTTTTTGGTATTTATATTTTAAAAAACTTTATGCATATTTATCTAACGATTTTTTATAACAATAATTAAAAAATAAATTTATTATAAAACTTGTCAAAATATTTTACTAACTTACATATTTTTTTCCTCATAAAATGGACAACTAGTTTGTGATAAATATTGAAAATAGGGTGGTTGTACGATTAAATTTCAATGTTGTTATATTATAACTATTAAAAATTAAAAATGTCTTTTAAATTAAAAAAAGTCATTTTATTTAAGTTTTAGTAGTTTATTTTAACAACATATTTAAAAAAAAAAGAACAAAGTTTTAGTAATTTACTATATATATTGTTTATAACGTATGCCACTGACCCTTTCATTTTTGGGCAATATCCATGTCTACCCATCTCTTTCGCGTCAATTGTTTTGTGCAGTCAAAAATATATAAACGAACCAGGACTTTAGTTCTTGATATTCTCTTTAGTCAGTAAGAGGGGTTTTCTCTCCCCCTTTTCTCTCTCTTTCTTGAGGATCTTGTCTTCTACTCAATAATATTCTGGAATTTTCCATAAATCGTTAAAAAGGATTCAAAAGAGAGAACGAAAAAGCCCAAATACACATTATATGAAGATCTAACACTTCGTTTTCTTGAGCTTTTTGCTTGAGGAATATTTGATCGAAGAATAATGTCTCAAGCTAATTGGGAAGCTGATAAAATGTAAGCCTTTTTTTTTGTCCTAATCTTGATTTTGTTCCTAGATTTGTGTTGTGGACATCTTTTAATTTCGTTGATCAATCATTAAGACAAGTGTTCTAGCAGTCTTATATTGTGCTTTTCGTCTTTTGCCCCTTTAGCTATTTTAGGGTTTGTGCGCCTTTCTTTTTTCTCTTTTGCTTTTATCAATTTTGTTCTATGTACCAAGTTGGGTTTACTTGATAGATTCACGAATCACTATCGCCACATTTTCAAGATGGACAAAAGAAACAATTTTCCAATTTAGGTCCTTCATTTTTTTTTTTTGGGTACTTAAATTTATTCATTTATTGTCTTCATGATGCATCTAATATAGCGTCTAAAGCTCAAAATGTTTCTCCTTTTGGTTTCTACTAACTTTTTTCAGTAGATTCTGATTTATATTCCGCGTACTTGACCTGAATTACCTTTTTATTTGTGTAAAGATTCAAACTTTATGTAGTTGTTTGACTAAATTCATGTTTAATTTGTTATTTGTCTTTTATTAATCAACAGGTTAGATGTTTATATACATGACTATTTGGTAAAAAGGGATTTAAAAACCTCTGCTCAGGCATTTCAAGTTGAAGGAAAAGTCTCATCTGATCCTGTTGGTATGAATCAATTGCAAAGATTATGTAAAACAAGAAACATCTTTTGTATTTTTTTTATGTACATTTTATCAAATTGTTTAAAATTTTCTCATAAATTCTAGCTATCGATGCCCCTGGTGGCTTTCTATTCGAATGGTGGTCTGTATTTTGGGACATATTTATTGCAAGGACTAATGAGAAGCACTCTGAAGTTGCAGCTTCCTATATTGAGGTCTGTTTATAAATTCCTCCATTTTTATAGCATTTTGACATGGAATCACTAAATTTACTACTTATAATGGTTACAATACTTTGTTATGTTGCGTATTATTTTGTTAAACAATGAAAGAAAAACTGCTTTTCTTGAATTATTTAACCTTTTATCACATTCTTTCCATAATTCAAGACACAGTTAATCAAAGCAAGGGAGCAACAACAACAACAACAGCAACAACAACAACCACAACAATCGCCTCATCCACAACAACAGCAACAACAACAACAACAGCATCAACAAATGCAAATGCAACAACTTATATTGCAACGCCAGGCCCAACAAGCCCAACAGGCCCAACAACAACAACAACAACAACAACACCAACAGCAACAACAACAACAACAACAACATCAACAACAACAGCAGCAACACCAACAACAGCAGCAGCAGCAACAACAACAAAGGAGAGATGGGGCCCACTTACTAAATGGGGCTTCAAATGGGCTTGTGGGAAATGATCCACTTATGAGACAAAATCCAGGAACTGCTAATGCCATGGCTACAAAGATGTATGAGGAGAATTTGAAAGTGCCACTTTCTAGGGATTCTTTAGATGATGCTGCTATGAAGGTAGATTTTTTATTCTTTCTTTTAAGTTTTTTGAGGCTAAAGTGAGTAACTTTTTTGTGTTATCAATATGAATTGTTAAAAATCTTTAACAACAAATAGTGTTTGGTTGTGGTTTTTGGAAGTTTAGTTCATGTAATTATTTAGGGGACAAATAATTAGATTTATACTTGCTACAAGCCTACAAGAAAACTTATTAAAGGGTAGAGTGACTTAATTTCATATATTACCTTCTTAAATGATCATAATGATTCAAGTATTTGATTATGATTATTCACTATCACATAATCTTTATCAAAATAGGTTAACTGTTTACTTTTTAGGTCAAAGCTTGAATGTTACCATTGTGATTTGTTGATTCCTCAACAATTATGATGATGGAATTTAATTTGTTATAAAATCCATACAACTCTTGAGAATTGGTAAATTGGGATGTTTAGGAGGTTTTTTTTTAAGGTAATGTAATTGTGCTTATGGTTATTTAATCATTTAGGGTTCAAATCATCGTTTTTTTTTTTTACTTGCTATATCGAAACCGATTAAAGATTGCATTTATGTTATTATGTATCACTTCCCTAAATAATCATAAATACGTTAAACACGTTATACTATTGAGTAACTATCAAGTTTCTACTTTTTCAATATTCAAATCCTCAACAAGAAATATGTTAATGGCATTATATTTTATGACAACATGCTACGGAAATATTGTCTACTTTAGTCATAATTAGTCTTTTATTCTGTTGAGTGTTGAATTTCAAATCTTGAAATATTTAACAATAATAATTTTGTTAATGTTATATAATTATGTGACAACATGGTAGACCTAGAAAGAAGGTAGTGTTCAATTTGTTTCAATATCTTATCAATCTTTCAATAAAAGTAGTCCATAAAGAGAAAAGCTTTAAATGTACGTGTTGTTGTTGAAACATTGAGAGTATTAAATATCTTTGTTGCATGCTATCTGAAATATTTTATTTTTTGTTTTCTTTTTTTCATTTTTGATTGTTCAGCAAAGATATGGTGAGAATGTTGGCCAACTTTTGGACCCAAAACATGCATCGATTTTGAAATCAGCTGCAGCTGGACAACCTTCAGGGTAATGTTTTTTTTCATATTGTCACAAAAACATCTGAAAAAGAAAAAAAAAAACATAATTTGTAGCAAGTTTTATATTGCAAATTTCATAGAAACATCAAACAACGAGAACTTGTAGTTATAAATCATCATATATCCAATCGTTTCAAACTTACACCATGTTTCCTTAAACGGAAACCCTATTATTTATTCTGGATGCATTACTTTCATAATAGAACAGATTCATCATAGCATTTATTTGGATTTTGGAACCGATTTTTTTTATTTTTATTTTTTTATTTTTAAAGGCAAGTGTTGCATGGAACATCTGGAAGTATGTCTCCTCAAGTTCAAGGTCGAAATCAACAGCTTCCAGGATCTACACCTGTGAGTATCTTAAACTCCAAGTTTGCTAATTTTATAAAAAAATCATTAACAAATATTTCATTTCATTACACTACATAAAAAAGCACATAGATTGTAAAGTATACATTGATTCTTTTGGTGTTGGATCTTTTAGTGATATTAATTAGTGATATGATCTGATTTGGAAATAATTAGGAGATAAAGACAGAGATGAATCCAATATTGAACCCCCGAGCTGCGGGCCCCGAAGTGTCATTGATTGGAATTCCTGGTAATGTTTTCACATTTACTAATAAAGACACCCATTAAATATTTTTTGACTTAAACAAGATTTAATTAAATGATTCTTTTAATTATCAATTCATTTAACCAAAAATCGATTTTACAGGATCAAATCAAGGTGGTAACAACTTGACATTGAAAGGATGGCCTCTCACGGTGAGTTCATGGATCATTTAATGGCATGGCAAGCTTTTCTAGGGCTATTTTTTATGATGAGGATCACGAGGGCATTTACGTCTTTTGCACAAACAAGAGATCGATACTCGATAGCGAGTCTACACCTTGCCTTGTTCATCTTTTTGGATGGGACAATAAATTTGTAGATTTTGTGCTGTTGACATTAGTCTGAGTCCCAGTCCAATGCATGACAAACACAGTACAATTTGTTTTGTCCTGTGTCATGCAGGACAAGACAAGACATCGCATAACATAACACAACCGTGTGTACTGTGTTTGACATGCATTGTACTGAGACTAAATAAGGGTAATGTCAGTGTGACAAAAGACATAAATGCCCTCGACCTCTTGTGTGTGCAGAAAGACATAAATGCCCTCGTCATCTTCATCCTCGAAAAAAGCCCTAGAAAGCTTGTCCTGTCGTGTGTAACAAACACAACTTTAATGACTTGTCATAGTAAAATACAACCCATCAACAAATTCCATTTGAAAAATTTCCAAATTTTGCAAAAAGACATAAATGCCCTCGTCATCCTCATCTTCTAAAAAAGCTTGTCCTGTCCTGTCATGTGTAATAAACACAACTGTAACGACTTGTAATAGTTAAATACAACCAACGAACAAATTCCATTTGTAAAAATTTCCAATTTTTTGGCATATTTTTTTGAATGGGGGTATGATAGGGTTTGGATCAGCTGCGGTCTGGTCTACTGCAGCAACAGAAGCCATACATGCAGGGCTCCCAGCCTCTTCATCAGCTACAAATGCTAACACCACAGCATCAGCAACAGCTTTTATTGGCACAACAAAACATGACATCACAATCTGCTAATGATGAAAGCAGAAGGCTGAGAATGCTTCTTGGCAATCGAAGCATGAGCATCGGGGGTAAAGATGGTATTTCTAATTCGGTTGGTGATGTTGTTCCAAATCTTGGATCACCTATGCCTGTTCTACCTCGTGGTGATCAAGATATGCTCCTCAAGGTGCCTTTTTTTTTTTTTTTTTTAAATATAATTGGATACTTCTGAGTTTTGATGATTTGATAGTTTTAAAAAACATATCTAATCCATTTCCAAACAAATCAGGCATTTCGTTACTTGGTTATGTAAGAATAAAGCATGATATCATATCCTTAAATAACCTTAAAAAACACACCTTTTGTAGTTAAAAATGGCTCAGCTACAGCAACAACAACAACAACAACAACAACAACAGCAGCAGCAAAATGGTAACCCACAACAGCAACAACAGCAGCAACAACAACAACAACATCTTCAGCATTCACTCTCTGCTCCTTTAATTCAAAATTCAAATTTAAATCTTCAACCAGAAAAGATAATGGGGACAAGTAGTGTAACAGGGGATGGGAGCATGTCAAATTCCTTTCGTGGAAATGATCAGGTTACTCTTTTTACCAATATAAAATTTTATCTTGTGATTAAAAGTTATGTGTAAAAAATAAGCGTAGGAATATGTTTTAAAATCCAGACCGGAAGAAAGAGAAAGCAACCCGTGTCTTCCTCGGGGCCCGCAAACAGTTCAGGAACTGCCAACACAGCGGGCCCCTCACCGAGCTCTGCACCTTCAACCCCATCAACTCATACACCTGGAGACGTGATCTCAATGCCTAATTTGCCACATAACACAACTTCTTCAAAGCCTATGATGATGTTTGGCACCGATGGTCCAACCACTCTTGCCTCCCCTTCAAACCAATTGGTGAGGGCATTTTCGTCTTTTGTATCTTGTACAAAAATACAAGGTGAATTTACCTTTTGGTTCTTATTGGCAATATAATAAAATTTTTGCAGTGGGATGATAAGGACATTGTGCAGGCTGACATGGATCGTTTTGTAGAGGATGGATCTCTTGATGATAATGTGGAGTCTTTTTTATCTCATGATGATACGGATCCAAGGGATCCAGTTGGACGTGGTATGGATGTTAGCAAAGGTGAGTCACCTGGTATATTTTCTATCTATTAAATTAATATTGATTTTTAATATAAATATACGTAAAGTACCAATTAACTTAATATTTATTTTTAATCTGTTGTTAGAGTTTACATTTACGGAAGTGAGTTCTGTTCGTGCAAGTGCAAGTAAAGTGGTGTGTTGCCACTTCTCATCTGATGGGAAACTTCTTGCAAGTGGTGGACATGATAAAAAGGTAAATCACCAAAACCCATCAAATTATATAAAGCTACAATTGGGTAGATGTTTTATGTTTATTTCAAAACTTTAATGTCATAATAATATATATATATATATATATATATATATATATATATATATATATATATATTTTTCTTCTTTTTGAAGGCTGTATTGTGGTATACGGATTCATTAAAGCCAAAAACAACTCTTGAAGAACATTCATCATTGATCACGGATGTGAGATTCAGCCCAAGCATGCCACGCCTTGCCACCTCATCTTTTGATAAAACTGTCCGTGTTTGGGATGCTGATAATGTTAGTTACTTCACCTTTTTTACACTCAATTCAAAAATATAGAAAAACACATTTATTTATTTTGAGTTCAAATTACAGCCTGGGTTTTCGCTACGTACATTTATCGGGCATTCTGCATCGGTGATGTCATTAGACTTCCACCCGAATAAAGATGACCTCATCTGCTCGTGTGATGGGGATGGCGAAATAAGATATTGGAGCATAAATAATGGCAGCTGTTCACGTGTATTCAAGGTTTAAAAAAAATAAAAAATAACTCACAACCATCATATCCATATATATACAATTCTTCATGATTTAACCTTTTTGAATATTATTTTATTAATTTTATGGATCAGGGTGGGACGGCTCAAGTGAGATTCCAGCCGCGCCACGGAAGATATCTTGCAGCTGCGGCGGAGAATATAGTGTCGATACTGGACGTTGAGACGCAAGCATGTCGACATTCATTACAGGTTCTTTTTATAGCAATGAGATTAGGAATTTTGGATGCTATTATATATATTACAAAAAAAATAAGTTTTTATTTTTTGTACATCTATGATGATTTATTTGGTTGGGGTATTGCATATGTAGGGGCATACAAAACCGATCCATTCGGTTTGCTGGGACCCGAAGGGAGAGTATTTGGCGTCTGTTAGTGAAGACTCGGTGAGAGTTTGGTCACTTATGGCTGGAAATGAAGGAGAGTGTATACATGATCTCAGCTGTAATGGAAATAAGTTTCATTCTTGTGTTTTTCATCCTAGTTATGCTTCTTTATTGGTCATTGGATGTTACCAGGTCAGCTTTCAATCTGTTAATTTGTTGTAACAAACTCAACAACCCCGATTAATGCATAATGCATTTTTTTTTTTTTTTTTAAATGTATGCAGTCTTTGGAGCTATGGAACATGTCAGAGAACAAGACGATGACACTGTCGGCTCATGAAGGATTAATTGCGGGTTTGGCATTGTCAACAGTTACAGGTTTGGTGGCTTCGGCTAGCCATGATAAGATTGTTAAACTTTGGAAATGAAAAAAAAATATAGAAAGTTGTTGTGATTTGATGTGTTGTATGTTTTTTTTTTTTTTTTTTTTTCGTTTCAAGTGTTGTCAAATGATGTAGTTTGTGTTGCTTACTGGTCTAATGTTGTTGTGTATTGTTTGTTTCTAGCCATGTTGGTTTTTTTTAATCTAATTGTTGTAACTTTTATTAGTTTATAGTTGTTTGTTCCTGTTGCAATCAAGTTTGGACTAATGGATAACCATTGAACTCATAACTTTCACTTTCACAATGGGGTATTAATGTTTATAGTTTTTTGGGACAACTTTACCCTCTCTTTTTATAATATCAGATCTGTAACACTCTTTTCTTAAAATGAAAACCGGGTTTTCAACTTAGAGATTCAAGTACACCATTATAAATGTGCCTTGTAACCATTTTATTTTACCAATAAAATTTATTATTAATTTTATAAATATTAATTCAAAGTTCATGTATTATTTATTGTCTGGATTTATTATTAACTAAATAAATATTGAGGATATCACAATAGAAAATTACAAATTCACTCATTTTTTTTGGGAAAGAGACATACGCCCTAGGCAAAACAAAATTTAGTTATTTTTCTTAATGACTCTTCAAGTTTTAGCCAAAAATTAACCAGATATAAAAAATTACGATCAAAATCTTAGATGGTTAGCATCACTGAGATTTCAGCAGCAACTTGGGCTGCGATTTCGGCCCATAGGCTGATGGTAATTAAACCATAAAAATCAGAAATGTACATTTATTTTAACATTTTCAAGTTAAGAATACTCTCTGCCCTCTCTAATGGCCTAAGATTGTGCACCTCTAATAATTTTGTAAGTTATCTGGTTTTTTCTTGTTTTGTTTGTGCTTTATTAGATTTCATTCATTGAGAAAAACTATATATACCCAACTTGTACGTTTTGCTTTATGTAAAAAATTTGTAGATTTAGAAAAAGTTAGAAAGAAAATCGTAAATGGTATGAGCCATCTGCAATGGCACAAGTTCCTAATGCATGACTCGTGCATCAGTGACTTGTAACATCACAAATGGCTCATGCCACCTTCAATTTCATGGTGGTTAGTTCAATTTTGTTTTCCCTTCGATTTCATGGTGGTTAGTTGTGATTTTGTTTACTTCATGTACTAGTAACTTATACACTCGCAAGTGACATCAAAACCTGATTATGGTATCTCTCTCGAATATTCTTACAATTATGTTGCTTATAAGGTCTTAAATAAGAGAATGAAAAGAAAGTGTGAATATTTCTTTTTGATGATCATTATGTGAAGTCTCATGAAAATCTCTTCATGCGAATTGTTATTTTTCCCTCTCCTCCCATCGAAATCCTTCCATTCCAATGCTTACATTTGATGAAGATTTCACTTATTTCTTCAACGAACCTTTTTTCGTGTTAAAATATGAATCAAACGCTCCTGATAATAGTGAAAGAGAAGTTTTAAAGTTTATCGATTCTCTAGAGGATGAATCATCTTCGGCAACTGATATTGCTATATTTATTCATATATTCTAAGCAATATTTAAGTATATTTAGCTATATTTTGGTTATTTATGAAGATCTTTGGTGCTTATTACATTTTGTAGCAGAAAACAAAAAAACATTCTCAAAGGAAAATGAGCTAATTTGACAAGTTGGAGACTTGGAGGTTAGGAGCATATATCAATATGAAGAAAAGAAAATAAATCATGCATAAAAGAGGATGCGACAACATGGTCACATACATGCCATGTCGTGATGACGTGCCTAGCATGGAACCTTCTCGATGGTCTGCATGGAAAGCTTGGACCATATGCGAGAAAACTATCTCCTACGTCGTGGTGATCATTGTGATACGACGTGGAGACAATTTTTAAGGAAACTATATATATATATATATATATATATATATATATATATATATATATATATATATATATATATATATATATATATATATATATATATATATATATATATATATATATATATATATATCAGACATTAGGTTGAATTTAAGAGAATCCAGAGATAGAGTTTTTACATGCGGCTAATGACAAAAAATACCTTCTGAGAAAACCTTGGAAGGCAATGAATCGATTGGAGATTATTGATTGAAGAGATCTAGAATGAAGAACATCAATATTCATTCGGTTTGCTAGTTTTCATTATGTTTACTATATTCATTCGGTTTGCTAGTTTTCATTATGTTTACTCTAGCTAACTCTTTGTTTAAGTGTTTTTATGCTATGATTATGGTCTAATACCCTTAACTTTCGTTTGGTGATGATGAACCCTAATATTATGTGTTGATTTCATTATTTATGGATTTATAGATGTCTGGTTTAACTTGTGTTTGATAGATCAATATTCTAACATGTTAAAGTTCTAATCTTTATCACTTTTTATGCAAGTTTTATGTAATTAGTTGATCATTCTTATTGAATTAACTTAATATCTAGTTGTTTATGACCATTGAATTGCTAGATCTAGTGATTGAATAAGTCCTAGACTTAGGTGGTAAAAGTTAGTAATTTTGATTGTGTTAGAGAGCATTAATGACTTATATTATGTGTTTGTATTGCTTGTCTTGATCATAGATAGGTAATTATTAAATCTTATAATTCTTAGTCCAAATAATCCTTAAAATCAATTTAGTGTCCAACTGGTGCTTAACCATTGCATATTAGTTCATGAATTGGTAAATATTAGGAATCAGAACAGGATAACTAGTAACTTCATAGTTTGGTAACCAATATATTTAATCCATTAAAAATCAACCATATGTGTCACACCCCCGAACCAGACGGCGGAAACGTCCGAGGGCTCGCGTGACTTAAATTGAATATCATCACAATGAATATACATGAATCATAACATAAACATCACCATGCATAAATATATTACAACTAGAATTGTTCACATCAAATACATTATTTTAACATTTCATATCCATACATAAATGGTTTGATAGATATCATAACAAAACACCCTATCATACTTGGTACTTATTCCTCAGCTTACCTGTTACCTGAAAATACAAGTTATTTTGAAAAACGGTCAACATATGAAATGTTGGTGAGTTCATAACTATGTTGTGATAAAATGTTTTTGTGTAGTTTGTAAAACCCAGAAAATCCGATATTTTCTGAAAAGACCATTGTTTATAAAAAAAAGTGTGAAGATCCGTAAATATATGCATGATGATTTTAAAAAAAAACATGTATAATTGTAGAACCTTAGCATTGATTTTTCAAGTGAATTTGTTGAACTTCCTCGGAAAATCCGATGTTTTCCGCATACATAAAATACAATGATTTCCCAAATTGTTATACCGCCACAATGAATGATTTTGATCACTCTTCCTTGATTAGTCGGGAGGTGTTGGATTAATTAAGGTTTGTGAGTTGTTATAATCACGCATTATAAATGACTAGTTTATAACTACAGTTCACCAACGATCCTTAAAGGCGTCGCTCGTTATAACTCACTTAATCCAACCACCTTGATTTCTCTTGATTATCACTTTAAATCTGTTTATGCTGATTACTAATAAGCCTAGCAAACGAGGAAAAGAGGAGTACAAATCCTCCTACTTCCGTGAGTTTACTTTAGGCCGTCGGGGATGCGAAAGACACGATGGTCCAACTCGCATTTGATTACCTTGACCTTACTAGCAATACTAATGGGCCAATAGGGCCCTATAGCACATAAAAGCTAATGAAAGTCCTTTTATAAGAAATTGGGTCATAGGAGGCCTAGTAACATATAAGCATTATCCCTTTGGGCCCAAAGATCATGATAATGGACTTGCAAGGTCCAACAAGCATGATTTGAAACTTCTAAGCCCAAAGTTTGAATAATTACTCATCTTAGGTTTTGCATATCTATTGGAGGGTTCGATTTTTACGGTTGTTGTAATGGTATCGATTCGAGACCGATCGATTCGTTTGTAACGATATTTGGAGTTAAACGTGTATTCGTCTTTTGATTTTTCAGCAGTCGTGGTTTTTGAATTTTTGACTAAATAAAACAATTTGTTTAAATTAAAAGTAGAGATTTGCCCCTTTTTACACCCTTTCTTTTTATAAAAATAACAAATTTAGTCCTTTATATAAAAGAAAAGACATTTTTAGCCCTTTAAACTTTTTCTTGACGCTTTTGTATCATAAATTTGTTGAAATGATGGTTTTAACTCAAAATTTACTTTGTTAACTATTTTAGTCCTTTTAGGATAGAAATTTTCGGTTAAAACCCAACTTTTCACAATTTTTATAGTTTTGGCCCAAAATCCAAAAACTTTACATTTTTGATCTTTTTTGGGAATAAAAAGCATTTTTGACCCTTAAAATAGTTTTATTACACTTATTATCCCCTGATTTGCAGGAAGTTTCATTTCAGCCCCTTTAAATGACATTTTTCGCAATTTTCGGGCTTATTGGGCCGAAAAGCCCAAAATTATCCCATTAAGCCAAAAATTTACATTTTTAGTCCTTTTAAAATTTTAATATTCAGAAAAATAATTATTGAAACTGTTTTGACTATTTTGACCCTTAAGAAACCGTGACTTGGCAACTTTTAACCCAAGTTTGGTATTTTTGACAATTTGAGCCCAAAAATGGGTTTTATGTTGGAAATATGTTCATCATAATCTTATAAGTTATCATTCTTGACTAGTTAAGTGTAAAATAACTTAAATCATGTTTGTTTCCTTTCCCATGTTCTAGATCTCGAGTTTCACCCCTTGTTGGTTGCATGTTCATCATAGAAACACATAAAAACACACATACATGCATGGAATCACACATAACATACAGATACACATAGATCTACACGTTTTTCTTGTATTCTCCCCCATAAAACACATAAAAACCAAAAAGAGAGGGGTTTGAAGCTGACCTTGAGTTGTAGTTTCGGTTTTGAAGAGAGAAAATGAAGAAAGTTTCGATCCTAGCAAGTCCTCTTGGTAAATCTCGAACTTAGATGATTTCTAAGAGAGTGATCATGATTTTGTAT